AAATAGAAGCCAGAGCTATGGGTTTTTCCTAGGAATGCTCCTAAACAGTTAAATAGTCCTTTAAGAAGAAAGATATACTATGTTGATAATTATAGCTAAAAAAAGATGAACATTTAATACTCTTATAGGCTGTTCTTTGCAGCCTAAGACCTCATCCTGTATTTGGAAAATCCTTCGCTTGATGAGTCTTGGTGCAAGGCAGAACCTGCCTCCCAGCCTCCATAAGAACTGAGAAGGCTAACTGCTCTTTCAAAACCCCTTTTTCATCTAGGGTACTATTGCCCTGCTTTGAATTAGGAGACTATCACATGACCTAGGCTCTGCCAATTAAAATCCCCAAATTTAAATTGAGAGCTAGTAATGCAAAGAAGCAGGGATCACAGAGAAATCTCTGGTGGTAGTGGAGGTGGCAGCAAGATTAGAGTTACCACAGTGTCAGTGGCAGTGGCAGCTGTCCGAACTACAGTCCATGCCAGTGATGTTCATAGTGCAGGCAGCAGTGATTTCCCCACTAAATCAGTTTTGTGGCCTGATTTTAGTCATTGTAGATTCCAAGCCTAATTCTCCAAACTTCTGAAGATGTGGAGCTATCCAGTTTATTTTTAATAAATTCCTTTCTATTGGTTACAAGTAGAAACTACGACTGATATATGCTCCCAACCTTCATTGTACTTACAAAAGTCAGAAGTGCCCAAAGCTCAATATAATATAATAATCAGATTATCCATTTTTTCATCATGCAGCACCTTAAATGTTTACTTGAAATTGAATTATTAATTGTGCTCTGGCTGGGGCAGTTCCCAAGCAGATGCACCAAATCAGTGTAGTAGTTAGGAAAATGTGGTTCTCAGGTACTCTAGGAACAAGTACACTTTTACACAGTCTCCTATGTTTTTTAATTTTGTATGTTCTTTACTGTAACTTTTAAATATTTGTATATTAAAAATGAAATTTGATCTAGATCTTTTGAAGCAGTCTCAATGAACTGTCACATAGTACAGTTTTAAAAACCACCACACCATGCTGTAATATGTGTGTACAGGTATTTTATTATGATTATGCTACACAAAGTTAATGAAAGAGTAATCCAATTACACAAATAATTTGAATTTAATATTTAATTTAATTTTATATGTTTCATTTCACCTCATTTGAATCTTATCCAGATTTGTTTTTAACTTTATATTATTAAAACATCAGGGGTCATTCCTATGACTGCAAGAAGGTTGGCTTTAGCATGTCAGTGATCCATCAATATGTAGTTAGAAAAGAATTTTCTCCTAAATGGCATATTAACAGAATTCTTGACAATTTCTAAGACCTTAGAAGATTGTTCATAGAATTGGATAGACCTTTGTTCTAATCATTTTATCATTATGATTTCATTATTCCGAGATATTTTTGGTTCAGCCATCGGTTAGTAGTGTTAAGAATCAGAAAGCTCCAGTGCAAGTTTTGAAGGAAGAAATGAATTGATAAAGAGATCCTTCTAAAATAGTCATCTCAAGCATGGAGATAAGTGGAATAGTATGAATTTAATAGGTTAGTATCACTTTTCTAGGAGAGAGAAAAGTGTTATTTAGCTATGGCATTAGCAGTCTTAGAAATTAAACAGGTATTTTCTTTTTTGATTTGGGCATATGTTCCTTGAAAAATGGTACATGGTTTATGTTTGGGCACTTGCCCAAAGACAGGAGGAGTTTATAATTCTACCACGTCTTTGCAGCTATAGTTGAAGATGTTTTCCATTTTCTGGATCTTTGGTGAAGATAATGCATACTCCTTAATTTAATGTATATAGAATGCTCAATGTATAAAAACGTATATTTTTATTTCATTGAATGCTGACGTTTTCTCCTCAGATTGTCTTTCTATAATTTTGTGGTATTATGTAAATTAGGGATCATTTTATGAGAATATTTCTTTATAGTGTTACCTGTTTAGAGTCATATCACAATTTCTCTGTGTTGATTTTGAACTGTGCTGATTCATTCTTAGCATAAAGTGAAAAGTGATCACTTAATCCTTTTTGAATTTAATGCAAATGCTTATCATTATATGGAAACCTGCGTTTGGCAATATTTGGGCTATTGCACAAATAGTAAACAATCAGATTTGAAAGAAGCAAAATGAAAAAAGAAGGTGCATAACGGAGGGATGGTCACTTATCAACATCGAAAAGAAATGCAGGCACTCCCAGATGGAAATTTTTTTTACTCTGCTCTGTATTTTATTATACTGATACTCAGTTCCAAATTTTTATATCGTTCTCTTATTGATTAATTTGTAGTTATGTCTTACCTTTATTGCCATATTGTGAGGTTTTTTTTAGGTAGTGAATTCATCTTAAAGTCTTTTCCTTTATTTTCCCCACATCCTAAAACTCATGGATGTGCTGATAGTAGTTAATTGTTAATTACTTACTGCTTAATTGACTATTTTATAAATTAAAAGACATTAAGTTTTATATGTAATTTATTCATTTGTGTATTGAAAATGTATTTATTGAAATTACTATACCATGGGTTTTGTCCATTAGCAAACTAGATGGTCCTAGTCTTCATGGAGCTTGTAGCAATCTAGAAGAAAAGCCCATATAGTAGGAAAATTTTTTTTATCTCCCCATCCCCAAGTCCCTAGATAATAAATAAATAAATCAAACAACTCACAGATATCTTGGAAGTAATGAATTTTTCACAGACCCTTCTGCCAGTTAAAATACTAGTTTTTACTGCTCTCTAGTAGATGATGTACATGCTAAATGACAGAACTTTTTCTATACTATATAAAAATAGTAGGGTTCTGATTTTGTGGATTTCTAATCATGTGACATAATTTGTGACTACTTTATCTATAAGTAGTTCTTGCCCAGTCAAATTGATGCCATCACCATAATAGAGATGCAGTGATACTAGTTGCCTTAGAATAGCTAAAGATAATTTTTACAGAAAAATTAAAACCAAGATCATTTCATAAAATAGGAAGTTGCTGTATAACAATATAAAAACCACAGTTAACATTGGAAAGAAATATTACGATGTTTACCTGTAAACTGTATATTGAGTTCTTACTACCTGTGACATAAAGAGGGTACTTAACAGCAAGGCAAAAAGACATTGCAAGCTGGAGCAAGAAGCACCAGAGAAGAAAATCTGAGCGGGTGTTTTAATCTCCTGACACACATCATGCAGGAGCATAGGAAGCAGTGTGAACTTGATAGTATTAAGTACTATTCTGCTGACTGGTGGAAAGAGGCTTTACCCTCTTCCCCACTCTGAGGTTAAGTTCTTGATTTAGTTAGTGATGATTACAAAATTTTACCAGAAGCATAATGGCCAAACAGCTAAAGCACATGTAGCGTATAACAGCATTGTTTCCCTTGGCCTCCAGAACACATAAGCGCTACCAGTGATGCTATAATGCTGTCGGGATAAGGTAGAATTTTTTTAGATCCAGAAAGCTTAATTTTTATTCTACCTCTCTCCTTGTAGACTCTGGGAGTCTACATCACCATTCTGGAGAACTTCAGCTAACAGGAAAGTGTCCATTTAAAGCTGATGTTTGGAAATACTGGTTCTTTTGGTTTGGTCTCATATTCCAGGCTTTGGCCCTCCAGTTTAAGGACCAAGTTAGCCTCTCCGATGCATTTGAGCGGCCTCTACTGAGAGACTGGGTAACCAAAGAATGACCACTTATCATTTTACTGCACTAAACGTAGTTGTCACGTGGACTAGAATACTTTAGTTGACATTGTCAGTGTATTCTCTTCCTGTAGTTAAGCTAAATAGGCAGCGAAATTATAATAAGAAACTGACTAACTGTAGAAATCATCATAGGACTTGAGGTCCAATGATCAGTGCATTTATTCCATGAAGTTATGCCAATACAAGAAGTCAAATCATGAGAAATTTATTTGGTGAGTCATGCCTTCTTCAGTAGACTTTACACAACATACAGATCAACACGTATATTGATCTTATAATTTCAGTGAGGAAAAATTTTTCCTTCATTTCCAAGTTCTAGGGAAACCTTTCTTGGGAAATATCTGTTGTGAAAATGAGTTTTCATCTCTAAAGTGGTATAGGTAAAAAGACCAGGATACATCACTTAAGCGGGCTTTCCCACCCTAAAATGACATAATCTTTTTCTAAAGTTCACTGTAAATGGATATGTGCAACCCCCATTCCATACTACTAAAGCTGATTGGCTTATCTCATCTATTCAAGGATCAAGGCAACAGATGTGACCAAGCAAATTTTTATAAACCTTAGTTTGAGCTATGTCAGCATTATACTGGTTGCATTGATAAAGAAGTAGGTTCCTGAGATACCAATGTTAGAGCTCCTAAGGGAACCATCTTAGGGCCACTGTCCCAGACATGACAATGTCATTAGTAGAATGAGTGTTAAGAACAAGGATTGTCTAGTACTTAAACCCTTGGCTAAAGGGATTGCTTTTGTATGTCATTAGTAGAAAGAATTCAAAATTGCATAATGTCAAAACTTCTGGAAACATGCTAAATTTGTTTTTTATCAGTTCCAAAAGAGCCATATTATAGTAAGTTGAAATATAGTAGGAAATAGTCATCTTTTATTTTAGAGGTAGGTAAAGAGAAACCTTCTCTTTTAGTTTCTATTGAAAAACAAACAGAAGCTAGTTGACTTGAAAACTGGTCAATATTCACATGTGTAGAATCATAGATTATCAGAATTTTGAAGGACTGTGGGTATCTTCCCTGAGGCATAAATTTATTGTAGTCTTCCCAAGTATTGTTTATTGAGCCTTCTTAAATATTTTAAGTGTCAGAACTCAGTATCAATATTTTGATAAATCTACTAATTGATGAGTCCTTTGTGAGATTGAATTGAATTGTGTCTTCACCTGCCATTGTAATATCCAATCATAATTGTTAGAACTGGTCACATTTTTTTCCCCTATAGCTGTAATCTTTTCTCTTCTTGAAACATTGTAGTCAATGACATTTTGTATTTTTCATTTAGCTTGTAACACTTCAAGAAGCGAAACTGCTGCTAAATGAAGATGATTACCTTATTAAAGCTGTATATGACTACTGGGTGAGAAAACGTAAAAACTGCAGGGGACCATCTCTCATTCCTCAGATAAAACAAGAGAAAAGGGATGGTTCTACCAACAATGACCCTTATGTTGCCTTTCGGAGGAGAACAGAGAAAATGCAAACTCGAAAGGTAATGTGCAAATTAGATTTAATTGAATGTAGCTTAATATTTAAGACCAATAGTTTTTTCTAATAACTTGAATAATTTTGAATAACTTGAACATAATGGGAGCTAGTGACATTGATGAGCTTTTTGTTAGAGATCCTACTTTTCAGTAGCTTCTGTTGGCCAGTTGTTTACAGTGTTTACTACTCATGCCCTTTATAAATCTACTCATCTATTTTAGGCTTGCAGTTAAAGTGATATGAGGAATTTTGTGTACTTATGCATCTCAGCAGTTTGGAGTTCTTCAGTAAACTACATTCTATCATGAATCTCCTGTGTTTGGGAGGCTGAGAATTTGAAATAATAATACTTTTGCTTGTTGGTCACTTAAGAGCTTACAGTTCCTTTGAAACCATATTCTAGTTCTTGCAAGTAAAAATGGGCCTTGCTACCTCTAGCTACTATGGAGTTGTGGGAAGTAGGGAAAGGTTCATTTTCTATCAATAGTCAAAAGAAACTGGAATCTTTTTCTCCTTTACTGAGTTGTCAGTTGTGTTAGATTTCAGATTGTTGAACTTGTCCCCATCTGGCTTTCAGAAGCAGAGCGAGGCAGAATTTTAAGTAAGAGAAACAAGATCTCATGCTATGGAGTGATAGTGATATGGTATAAAGGAAAGCATATTTCAGAGGGGTATTACTGCCTTCCATTTCTCATAATAGTAAATACCACACACGGTAACATATTCTCTAACACTGCAAAGTATCAGGAACATATAAATGTAAAAACCTTGAGCAATTATAATTGGAGGCAAAGCATTTTCTGTGGATTCTTGTTTCTCCTAACAGTGAAAGCTTGTCTTTGTCAGCTGCTGATATAACAGCTGTGAAGCATAACAGCTGCCAAAGATAGTATATTTTAGGAGAAACTTTCTAATGGTTAATAACCAGAATTTCTATAACTCTCTGTATGTGATTTTCTTAATCATCAGAGGATGGATTTCTCAAGTATAGATGACATTTCCTAACCCAGGCTGAGGTTTCAATGTGTCATTCTAGTTCTTAGCTAAGGAAATCTATGATAAAATTTGAAGATTTAGCACTTTGCTTGGATTCTAAGACTAAGATAAGTTTGTAAATTCAGTAAAACTTTATAAATGTGAACTACTGGAAGTGAAGAAGGAGAGATTTATCTGAGCCATTGAAAAACCTGAACTACCAGTTGCATTTTAAAAGCAATATACAGTCATGTGCCATGTATCAACTTTCTGGTCGATTTTGGACTGCATATTCAACAGTGGTTCCATAAGATAATAATACCATATTTTTACTGTACTTTTCTTATGTTTAGATACACAAATACTTAACATTGTGTTGCATTTGCCTACAGTATTCACAGTAATATGCTGTACAGTTTGTAGCCTAGGAGCAATAGGCTATACCATCCAGGTTTGTGTTAGTACATTCTGCCATGTGTGCAACAAGGAAATCACCTAATGACACAGTTCTCAGAAAGTATCCCTGTTAAGCAATGCATGACTATAATTAATTCAGATATATTGCAAAACATAGACCATTAGCAACGTCTTTGAAGGAAAAGTACTATTGGACTTCCTTTAGCGAGTGGGTATGGAATACTTTAAGATTAGCAGTATTTATTAACATATTTTCTGAATGCTAAAACATCAAGAGGCTGAGGCAGAAGGATCCCTTGAGCCCAGGAGATTGAGACTGCAATGAGCTGTTATCATGCCACTGCACTCTGGCCTGGGTGACAGAGCAAGACTCCATCTCAAAAAAAATATTTTTTCTTTTATTCTTCCTTTTTTCTAACCACTATATAGTGAGAATTGCTAGTAACTGTTTTTTGTGTTTAGGTACTTCACCATTGTGTGAGCACTAATAATAGTTTTTCCTGACACTCTGATTCCTATCCTTTGCTTGTTAGTTATTTTTCGTCTTCTACTGCAGATAGGTACATTTTCTTTTCTAATGGCCTTTACTTTTTATTTCTCTTGTTTTCAGTCATAGGACCAAAGACTATCCCTGTCATGCACACTGTTGCTAGTTAGAAACATTTATGTGTTTTGAAATCAGAAAGATGAGAAAGCACTCAACAAATAACGAATACCTCCTAGCTGTTCAGGAGGTGGGCAAGCATTGGAGTATGCGAAGACAAATACAGCTGACAAAGGCTCTGTGTTTCCTTTTCTATTTCCACAGACTTAAAAACACTTGTGTAGCTGATGCAAAACCTAAAGAACTTCTCAAATATTTGTTTGACAGTCTAGAATTTAATTTTAATTCACTAAACTAATATTTAATTTGGGAGTACTTTAAGACATTCTTAAATGAGATAGTCTTGACGCATGTCTAAATGCAGCATGTCTAAATGCACGGACTGGGAAATCCTGAATCAATATATATATTTATTATGTTTAACCACATAGATTCAACTCTTAGTGTCTGTGCCTTCTCTCCTCCCTCTGTGTGGCCCAAAGAAGTAAGATAGACAATTAGGAGAGGAAATTCTCAGGGTAATGGTTCTGAGTTCTGCTGTATATAACAGTCACCTGTGAATCATCCTTGGTTATAAAAAGATCTTCAGTTTATTTTAAAGTACAGGAGTTTGAGAACCACTTCCCTAGAGATTTGAGAGTAAGTACAAAACTGTATATATAACTGTAATAAGAAGAAAGGAGTTGGCCTCAAGCAGAAACAGTTGTGAGAAAGGGTAAAGGGGGCAAGTGGATTTGAATATAGGGAATAGGGCCACCTTAGAAGAATAGAAAAGATGTCTGTCTGAATCCATGGCTTTTAATATTGATATAGCTAGAAATAGGTATAAATCTGTGTGTATGTACATATATATAATTATATACTTATTTCTTAGCTTTATTCACCGAGAGGCTCTAGAAGCAATGACACCTAGTAGCAATAGGCATGCCTAGCATGCAGATCTTGATTTTAAACACTATTTTCCATTAAAAGGAAGCAGGGCTCCGTAGGAAAATGGTTGGTTCCAGGTCTGGGGCTGGAAAAATATAAAGATAAGCTCGGAACGAACCTTTTGCTATCCCAGAAAATAAGAATGTCATTGAAGAATGTCAAAGCCACGTCAGAGGAGCCAGCTTTAAGCGGGACTCTACTGATTAGAGCTGGGAAAGTTTGAATATCAAAATAGATAATCAGAGTAATTGAACTATAACCCATAGAATAACCCATGAGTCCATAGTGAGATGGATGGATGGATGGATGGATGGATAGATGGATGGATGGATGGACAGATAGATAGATAGATAGATAAAAGTGAATGGAACACTTCCTTACAGTAGATTTCCAAAATTACAAATGTTGGCGGGGTGGTGGAGTTAGAAGATCACAATTTGGCAACCACCATAATAATAATTGTTTCAGGTAAAAGTTAGGATCCATGGACACTAAACTAATGGGGGAAAATTTGGTGAGATACAAAATACTACTTATATAGTCCTACAACATACTTGTTAATTAAAAAGGAAAAATAGTATTGGACTAGAGAAAACTGGCAGACACCATCTTAATCAAAGTTATTATCAGCTGGCGGGGCGTGGTGGCTCACGCCTGTAATCCTAGCACTCTGGGAGGCCGAGGCGCGAGGATCGCTTGAGGTCAGGAGTTCAAGACCAGCCTGAGCAAGAGCGAGACCCCATCTCCACTAAAAATAGAAAGAAATTAGCCGGAAAACTAAAAATATATAGAAAAAATTAGCCGGGCATGGTGGTGCTTGCCTGTAGTCCCAGCTCCTCGGGAGACTGACTGAGGAAGGAGGATCGCTTGAGCCCAGGAATTTGAGTTTGCTGTGAGCTAGGCTGACGCCACGGCACCCTAGCCTGGGCAACAGAGCGAGACTGTGTCTCAAAAAAAAAAAAAAAATGTTATTATCAGCAGTAATGGGACAAATAGTATCATTAACTCCTGATATGATATGAGAGGGACACAATATCACTTCTGTGGTAGTCATACCAAAGATACATAACTTGAATTTAATCATGGAAAAATAGTAATGAAACCCAAATTGAGGAATATTCTACAAAAATAAATGGTGTCTACTCTTCAAAAATGTTAAGGTCATGATCACCACAGAAAGAAGAGCTATTCTAAATTATAGGAGGTTAAAGAGACATGACAACTAAATGTAGTTTTTAATCCTGAGTCAGAGCCTAGACCTGGGGAAAAAATTATTATTCATAAATTTTAACAATAAGTATTACTGTTTCACTGATGTCCTTTATAGCAGTAACTTTATTTATTGCCACAAAGGATATAAGTGGGACAATTGGTGAAATATGAATGGTTTCTTTATATAAATAAATTAGATAATGGGATTATATTAATGTTATTTTCCAGGTTTTGATAATTATACTGTGGTTATATAAGAGAATATCATTATTTTTAGAAAATACATATTAATATTAAAAGTGTTTGGAGATAAGGCCGGGCACAGTGGCTCACGCCTGTAATCCTAGCACTCTGGGAGGCCGAGGCGGGTGGATTGCTTGAGCTCAGGAGTTTGAGACCAGCCTAAGCAAGAGCGAGACCCCGCCTCTACTAAAATTAGAAAGAAATTAATTGGCCAACTAAAAATATATAGAAAAAATTAGCGGGGCATGGTGGCGCGTGCCTGTAGTCCCAGCTACTCGGGAGGCTGAGGCAGAAGGATCACTTGAGCCCAGGAGTTTGAGGTTGCTGTGAGCTAGGCTGACGCCACGGCACTCACTCTAGCCTGGGCAGAAGAGTGAGACTCTGTCCCCCCCCCCCCAAAAAAAAAAAAGTGTTTGGAGATAAAGGGCATCATGTCTTCAACTTTTCTTGAAAATTTTGAAAAATACTGCTAATTATGTGTGTGTTTATGTGCATACATGTAGATGTATATACATTCAGAGAGAGAAAGCAAATATGAAATATTAACCATTGGGGAATCTGGATGAAGATATTATATATGAGAATTCTTTATACTATTTTTGTAACTTTCATAAGTCTGAAATTATTTCAAAAGAAAAAGTTTAAAAAAAAAAAGAATAGAAAAGACAGGACCGGGGAAAGGAAAAGTTAGGAAGGGTAGTTATTTAGGCCAAGAGAGCAGGAAATGAGTGAGACAAAGCAGAAGCACAGAGTCCAAGAGGAACACTTACTGAAGAAGGGGGGCACTCTGAAGATTCTGGAGCACCTTTGAATATTATTCAGCTGCCAGCTGGCATGTAACCTTGTATTTTTATGTCTTTTGATTCTGTATGTCTGTCATTCTTACTAGATTTTAAGCCTTTTGAGGATAGGAGATGTGTGCAATATCCTGTGTGAGTAGGCATTTAATATTTGCTGTTGATAAAGTTAATTTTTTTAATTGGAAGGTATTATTGCTGCATGTTGACCAAAAAAAAAACATAGCTTAAAACTATGCTTTAGATTTTATTTTGCCTTTTGTCACATGCTACTGAAAGAAAAAAAGATGAATTTTTTATTAGATGAAAGGATGACTTACTGACTTAAGAGTTTTTTAATATTCTGTATGCAGTACCTCAGTGGGACTTAGTTTGGGTTATTTTTAATAGGCGGTGATTATTTTTCAAATGCAAGAAACTACACAAAAGAAAAAACATAACTGAAATTTTCTCAATTGTTATTTTCTTTTTTATAATACTTTAATATGAAACCTCTAGCATTCAGATGTCATATTGAATTTTTAACTCAAGGATGGAATGATTGCTTAAGTACAGTTCAGTCTGGTTACATAGATTTAGGGGTATTAGTGGTCTATAAAATGAATAGTTTGTGCCTGTTAATTAAGTAGCAGGATGTTTGATTTAACAGACTAGTTTGTATTAATAATAATTTTATGTGCAGATAGATGCTGAGCCTTCTCTAGTTATGTAACAGGGCTTTTACTTTGTAATTAATTAAAGAACTAATTAACAATATTCTGAAATTCAGAATTTTTGCTAAATCTCATTCTCTCTGCAGTGAGGTGTTATTACACTGAGACATGATAATCCCCCTTTTTTTGAAATACTTGACATGCTACTTTTAGTTTTCTGTGTGAGTTTCTTAAGTGAAGCTTTACATGTCATTATTCATTGCAGTGCAGTGTGTTGAACCTTCAAGCCCCCAATTTACAGAGCTAGATGGATGGATAGAGACTTATTTTGGCTATTTTTAGGTACCTTGGTCTGGATAGAACAGTTTCTCTCTGTCATTGGAAAATATCTTACCATGATATAAATGGACTACATTGTCTAATATACTAGGTTTTGTTTCAGGCAGACATTTTTTAAATTTGTTTACATTGGAGTTATCTCTTCTATGCCATTCCATCTTTTCAACAGCCAAGAACATTTTTTTGTGACTATTAAGAAGTATTTGCTCATACTTTTGTTTTCAGAGCTCCTATGTAGTTGCTGTTTAGATGATTTTTTAAACATTTTTTAACATTTTACTTTTATGGGTTAAATTTGAGTCTGATAATATTTTATTCAACAAAGCTGGAAATGTGGATAATTGGGTTAATTGTTTATTCTTCTAAAATTGATATTATTTTTAATAGAATCGTAAGAATGATGAAGCTTCTTATGAAAAGATGTTGAAACTGAGACGAGAGTTTAGTAGAGCCATAACAATTTTGGAAATGATTAAAAGAAGAGAGAAAACAAAACGAGAATTATTGCACTTAACCTTAGAAGTTGTGGAAAAAAGGTAACATTGCTACTATTAAAAAACAAGTGGAAGCTTTAGCCAAATGATGGGTAAAATGTAACCAAAAGATTGGGGGAGTGAGGTTCTAAGCTTTATGATGGTTGATATTGATTCTTTAACAGAATTTACATTTTTACAAGATTTTTTTTTAAGAAATCAAATTAAGTTATCATTTGTGTTATAAATTTTGGGGGAGTTTTGTGTATACTATAGTTCCTCTAATGCACTTAATTTTTTTTTTTTTTGGCAGAATCATTGAATTTTATTTAGAAAATAACCTACAGATCATTTTGTCCAGCTCTCTGTATTAAAGTTTCTATTAAATAAGATCTGAGGGAAATGGATGTTTAATTGATTTTATTTTTTATTGCACCCCTTTTTGGAAATGTGTCCAATGTAACAATATCTTCCTGCATAATTAAATGGACTAAACTAAAACTAACAGAATTTTGTGTGATTTCTGAAGTAAGCATTATAAACAACATTTCCCAGTGCTTGATAATATAAAATATGTAAGAAATTTGTTTTCTATAACCTTAGGCACTTTTTCAGTTTTTTGGTTTGTTTGGGGTTTTTTTAAATCAAAGCATGTTTGTTTATTCCTCTAAATTTTCTTTTAAAAATAATTTGATTACTAGCTCTATTTGATTGCCTTCTGATTAACTGAGGTATCATTTATTTTCTTGCTTTATTGTTAAACTATGCAACATGTTCTTGTATTTTGTTACCTTTTTAAGGTATCATTTGGGAGACTATGGCGGTGAAATCCTTAATGAAGTGAAAATCAATAGATCAGAAAAAGACTTATATGCCACTCCAGCAACTCTTCATAATGGAAATCATCACAAAGTCCAAGAATGTAAAACTAAGGTGAATATCCTCTGGGGAGAAGCATATGTGGTAATATTGATTAGATAACTGTTGATTTCTGTATGTCTTAATATAGTTTGATGAAGGAAAAAGGTAATTCATATGAATTTAGTTCTTACCATTTGCCAAGCACTTTGCTAGGCATTTTTATGTACATATTGACCTATTAATCCTCATAACGAACAACACTTTAAGGTAGGTTTTATCTCTGTGTGATTCTAGATCATAATTCGTAAGTGGCAGATTCAGGGTTTGAGTCCAGATCTAACAGTCCTTTGATTTCCAATGTACTGTCTGCTTCCCTAGAGAATATGGGTAATAAAAGTCTCATTATTATCACTAACTAGCCTGAGCAAACCCTGCATTGTAGTGGCAAGCATCAACATCTAAAATGAAAGCTTTCTTCATTGAGACTATTGAAAGTTATTCTTGTCATCATGGTTGCCTGAACCAGCATTTATCAGTTGTTATCTACTTAGAGAAAGTCCTTTAATTTCTGAATCACAATTTCTTCCTAATGTAAGAGCAAGACTCTGATTATTTTAGTCTCTTGGACTAAGTAATTATATTGATTTGGTATTTGAATCAGATATATAAAAGCTAATAAAACCTTTAATTTTAAGGAGCATAGATTTAAATAAGAAACAGGCATCAGCTGGATGCAGTGGTATATACCTGTAATCCCAGAACTTTGGGAGGCTAAGATGGGAGGATCTCTTGAGGCCAGGAGCCCAAGACCAGTTTGGGCAAAATGGCGAGACCTTGTCTCTACAAAACATTTTTAAAAAGCAAGGTGTGGTGGTGTATGCCTGTAGTACTAGCTCCTCAGGAGGCTGAGGTGGGATAATCACTTGAGCCTAGGAGTTGGAGGTTGCAGCAAGCTATTATCTTGCCACTGCACTTCAGCCTGGTCAACAGAGTGAGACCTTGTCTAAAAAAAAAATTGAGGTATTGACTGAAGCATCTAGATAGTAGAGTGTTACTGTCTGTAGCAAGATTTAAAAAGTGACTTAGGGTATTTGTGGAAAATTCATCTTTTAAAAATGTATCCAGTCCTCATTTTCATGGGTTCATTCTTAAAGGTCAAGAAAGAATGTGGAGCAGGATGACTTCTCCTTTATTCAGCTCATGTCAATTCAAACACCGAAGTTCTTTCTTATTAATCACAGGCATCTAGCCCACCTAGCTGATTCTCTTTAAATCATACTTGCCTCTATAACCAAAAAAAGTTATCGGTGCAAATGTCATTTTGTAAGTTATTTTTAAAAATCCATTTTATATTAATCAATGCTTTTCCTACATATATGATTGTTAGGCATTAGAATCTAAAAATCTTAACCCATAATTGCTGACAGAATCAGCCTTTATTATATATTGATTCTTATTTTATATCTCTTCTAAGAAGAAATACTCAGCCTATTTAAATACTAATTTTAATAGATATGGTTGTATCCATTGTTGCCCTACTGTGTTACACATAGTTAACTATATTTACTTTGTCACACGTCCCACCTTAAAATATGGGGAGTTTCTAAGAAGTTGAGGTTTTCCTTTTGTTGCAATAGTTATACCTATTGTACAAAACAGTTTATAGCTCACTAAACATAATTTGCCATTCAACCAACATTTTCAGTGTGTGTACCGTTTTTGACCCTAAAGTAGTTTTAACATCTGGACTACATGTGGGAATATATAACTTCTGAAGTATTTTTACACTTTTGTAGTTTGTACCTTGGTGCTTGGAACAGTCATTTCTAACTTTTTAAAGTGGTAGATCCTTTTTTATTAAAAAGCATGTCAGTACGTTAAAACAAACAGAACTGCTCTGTTGAGGAGAGGCGGGGGCTGGAAACCTACCCCTTCACTCAAGTCCCTTTGCCAGATGGCCTCTCAAGTAACTCCATAAAACCCTGAGGTACTTGAGAACAGTTTGATTATTGTTCAGTTGAGGCAGTAATTATACATTCTAAAAAGTGAAGCCTTTTTTTTTTCCAGTTAATAAGCTTATTTTTCTCAAAAAATTACTACCCACAGAAGAGACATTTTTAAAAATTGGAAATAAGTGAATGTAGAAATGAATTCATGATCCAATGAAATTATTTTTAAAATAGTTATTTTCATCATTAATACAGAGGATTTAAATAATTGAATTTAAATACCTTTTAAATGCTAGATTGTGTACTATTAGAACAATCTAAAAATCACTAACATCTTAGTTTTAAGTATTAACAATATAAAAAGAAAATATAAATACCATAATTATTTTTCATCATAACTTGCAGAAAGTAAAGCATGTTTTAATGATCACAGAATAATTTTTGCATATTTAAAATAATAAAATCATCTCCTGGGTAAAAATGTGTGTTTTTCAAAGAGCAGTATAGTTTTTCATGATTTCTAAAATGATTTTTATTTCTTCCTTTCGGGGGAAAAATCGTCATGTAAACAGCACCCTCATCATTTGTCTTTGAAAGAAGAGGCTTCTGATGTGGTTCGTCAAAAGAAGAAGTACCCAAAGAAGCCTAAGGCAGAGGCTTTGATAACATCTCAGCAACCCACTCCTGAGACATTGCCTGTGATCAATAAGAGTGACATTAAGCAATATGACTTTCACAGCTCAGATGAAGATGAATTTCCACAGGTGCTTGTTTTAAAACTATTTTAAAGACATTTCCTTCTAGTCTTTTATATTGCTATATTTTTAAAACATAATTGACATCTTAGAGTTTTATTCTTGTTTGTTCCACTATCATTACAGCATAAACATTTTCTACGTTATTTATGTAGCCACTGAAATGGTATTTACTCTCTGTTATTTTTCATCAGTTGGGTAGAATTTATTCTATTGTGGAACATTTTGATGGTTTTCAGTTTTTTCCTTTTATAAAGATGAGCATAGATCCTTTTCCCCTGTATTTAAAATAGAGTTTTAGAAATGGAATTACTAATTACTATCCAAAGATTATCACTGTTTTAAGACAGTTAATATATAATTGTAAATATTTGCCAACATTAATTTCCTTATTGAATCTAAAGAAGATTTAGAAGAACTAATTCAAGTTTTAACTTCTGAAAGTAGTTCTTTGGTGAATATTAAGACTTTTTACTTTATATATTAAAGGATCAGTTTTTTTCAGCAAATAGTACTGTTTAGCACCTGGTTTTGCAATACTCTCTTTTTTTCTGTATGGGATAGGAAATTTAAAGGGAGTACTGTAACGAAGACCTTGGACCTGCTAACAGCTTTACCTTATTTTAACTATTTTGACTTATTTGCTTTGAAGAAAATTTCTTTTCAAAACCAACATCACAGATATGTTTGGAAGCAAGACTTTATAAAACCCTTTATTGCTGTAATCATTTAAAATATAGAGTTTGCATAAAATGTGTCCACTTTAGCTAGATTATATTATTTTTACTCTTTTTTTCCACTTATTTAGCTTTTCTACCCTAGAAAATATTTTGGGATTTATATGCATGGTATTAAATATGCAAAGATATGTTTAATCTCATATGCTCTTGAGAAACACTTAATAAAACCATATATTACTTTTGTCATCTAGTTAGCATGAGGCAGGACTTTGAATAGCCATGGGATATTCATCATATGACCATTTGAAGGAGTGAGGAATATAGTGTCCTAAAAAAATAGTAGTTTTACAGATAGGAAGTGTAGGAACGGGCTGTAGGCACAGTGTACTAGAGAGAACTGCTAGTGTTGCTGGAGCGTAAAACACAGAAGGGATGGAGGTGAAAGGAATGATGCCTATAGTAGTAGCCAGATGGCCAATGGCCTCTATCTGCATTATACATACTGGGAAATTATTAAAAATGTTGAGTAAGAAAATGACATGGTTAGATAAATATATGTAGAATAACCTTATATTTGTGTTACTAATGAGAGGCTAGAAGGTTTTGCTATACATTCCCAGCCTTTTAAGAATGATACTGTGGCCTGTAAGAAACTTTTCCCTATTGCTGTTTAGGGTAGTAAGTATGAAATGTCCGATTTCCTAAAGTACTAAGTTTGACAGTTGATATTTCTGACATTTCACTTGGAGACTTCTTGATTTATTTTTATTGTGAAGTTACATCCTCAGTCTTTCAAACCCATGTTTTGGCTTGTGGTTATCTTTCAAATTTTTTTTTAGAACAATTTTTGTGAAATCATAGATAAGTCAAAAATTTGTGTTATTTTCAAATATGAGTTTCGTCGTGGAACCAATACAGCACAGGCAGCTGAAAATACCAACGAAGTGTTTGGGAAGGGTGTGGCTGATGAACTCACAGTATGTCCATGGTTTGAGAAGTTCCATTCTGGTGATTTTAATCTTGAAAATGAGCCGTGTGGGCGACCTGAGATGAAGGTGGATAAATGATGAGCTGAAGGCTGTAGTGGAAGCAAATCCATCTCAACCTACACATGAATTAGCAGCAAGATTTGACGTTACTATTCCAATAATATTGGACCATTTGAAACAAACTGGCAAAGAAAAGAAGCTGGATAGGTGGGTTCAGCATGAACTATGTGATTGTCATCAGAGAAATTGTCTTGAAGCTTGCCTTTCTTTGCTGTCCACAATATAAGGGTGAACCATTTCTATACCATATTGTTACGTGTGATGAAAAATGGATTCTTTTTGACAATTGCAAGCATTCAACACAATGGTTGGATAAAGATAAAGTGCCAAAACACAGTCCAAAACCGAATATTCATCAAAAAAAGCTGATGATGTCTGTTTGGTGGTCCAGCACTGGTATTATCCACTACAGCTTCATGAAACCTGGTCAGTCAATTACAGCAGATATCTACTACAACCAATTGGACGAAATGAGGATTTTTGTGCTTAAGCAGCCAAGATTGGTCAATAGAGACAGGCCAATCCTCTTGAAAGACAATGCTCGACCACATGTCGCATAAACAACACTGTTCAAACTACAGAAGCTAGACTTGGAGACTCTCTGTCATCTACCATATTCACCAGACCTTGCACCAACTAACTACCACTTCTTCCAGGCTTTGGACCCCTTCTTGCTGGAATAATACTCAATTCTCAACAAGCGGTAGAAAACGACTTTTGCGATTTCATCACCACTTGCTCTCCAGGCTTCTTCACTGCTGGCATAAACAAGCTGCTGTTAAGATGACAAAAGTGTGTCGATAGTTTAGGCCCATACTTGGATTAATTGTACTGATTCTTGTTTGAATTATAATAAACTGCACTTTTGATTTAAGATCGGACATTTCATATTTAATGAAATCCACAGCTAAATGAATCAGTCCATCCAGCCTGAAAGTAGAGCTCACTCAGCATCACTAGTCATATGTTCCTTGTGCATTAAGGGTTCTACAGTTCTGCTTTAAGTTCTTATGTTTATTCATAAAGTCCCCAACCCCCATTGCCACATGAAAATGACATTTTGAAAATTTTAAAGAACCCTCATTAATTTTATGGTATCCTCATGTAGCTAAAGAGTGAGTATTTACCTGTAGTTGGGCATCATTCATTGAGGCAACTATTGAGAATGTAGCACTTCTAAAATTAGGATTTTATTGCAAACAAGATCATTAAAGTAATCATATGCTTTTTCTTTGTCCAATAAATGAGGAATGAGGGAATAGGGAGCCTTAAGACAACAAACATTTTAACCAGACTTACCCAACTGGCAGTATAGCAGAACTAAAAACCCTGCCTGTTCTTGTTCATGCTCTTGATTCTCCTAACATCAGCTCTCTCTTCCCATGTCTCAGACTGACTTTGTCCCCTGGAACCTACCCTTGGGGAATGGTAGTTGGGAGGAAGGTGTAACATACTTTATGCAAAGAATTTCTGAGACTTTGTCATACTTCCTGTGTATATCTTGGAAGAGATACTTGATTTGCAAAGCAACCAAAGTGTAAAATTTCACATTTGGGATTTCCTTTCAAATTTCAGGTTTGGGGCTTGGTTCCCCAGGAAGAAGAACCAGCCCCAGCTCACTGTTTTTGTGTCTCCCCACTTAGGGTTGGTGGAGGTATATTGGAACCTCTTGAAACAAATCCCTTTCTCCCCTGGATGACCCTGCCCAGTGGTAATTACCACAGTTTGGAAATAATGTGGAGAAAACATTTTTCCTCTCAAAATAGGAAGAGAGGAATTTGTGAGGTTCAAAAATTTGCAAGTAAATATGGTTGAGCCAGTGTTTGTCAGAAAAAAGATATACTACAAAGTGAAAGTGCGAGACAACTGAAACTTAAGTACCAAAACTTTTTTTTTTAACTTTAACCATTATGGGTGGAAATTTATCTAAAACCTATTATTTCCCTGCCATGTCAGAGTTTGTGTATCATTTCATCTGTTTTTATGACATTTATAAAATGTCCTGTTACGGATCAGTACTACTTACCCTAACTCAGACTGCCTAGGGATATTTGGCCTGATATCCCAATGGCCTGGGCAGAATGCTTTTTAATATGTTTTGAAAGTCTTTATTCATTTGCTATATGGTGATGGGCTTATCACTTCTTTCAGCAACCAATCTGCTTACTTTTAGCAAGTCTTCTTTCCTCTTCTAATTTTCTGCTCTGATCTGCTAAGTTTAAAAAGCGATTTTTTAAAAATAGGGCTTGCAGAGATAAAAGAAAAGACTCCACTTTAAGTAAAATCTGTGGTCTCTGTGAAATCTTTTTTTTTTTTTTTGGCTATTGATAAGCCTATTTACTTCCTAGTTTTTGGCTTTATTACAGAGAGAAAAAGTTATTGGATAAAAACATACCTACCTGTAGGTGAAATATAACTATCATCACTAAATATTTATGGCCACATACATTATTTACAAAATATCATGGGATATATCAAAGGTATTCTTTTTTAAGTCAGTAACACTTCATGTTCAGAAGCAATTAAGCAATACCATGTGTACTTACTTGCAAGAACTAATTCATTAAAAACAATGATTTTTAACCATAGAAAATTCTTACTGGTCATAAATGTTTTGGGGAATTCACTGCCTGCTGTATGTAATATAGGAATATTTACTGTTTGTGATCAGGTTTAAATTTTAGATCATTATAAACATTGATCTGATGGCTTTTGATAACTCCTAAATGGAATGCCTATTTTGTCTAGGTACCGTCTCCAGTATCAGAACCTGAAGAAGAAAATGATCCTGATGGTCCCTGTGCTTTCAGAAGGCGGGCAGGATGCCAGTATTATGCTGTAAGAACTTTTCGGTGTTTTGTGAACTGGAATTAACAGATAACTCATGTCAGAGTGACTTAGTCTTGATCTAAAAATGGGAAGTACATCAACACTTTTTATTTAACATCCATTATGTGAATACTGGTAAAAGATACTAAAAGGTACTGAGTTCTTTCAAAGGGTATCAGAGTCTTCTAGTTGGAAATTGATAATGCATCATATTTGAGAAATCTTGTTTCACTTTGGGCTTTAATTATAGCTTCAGCAGTCATGAAAATTGCTCAATATGTATGTCATTGCTAGAATTAGGTAAACCCAGAATCTCTAAATTGGCTCTAGAACCTTTAATGGCTGCTGAGTGTTTATTGAGACTTATTGTTATGCAGGCCTATGCTGTGCATATATGCCCAGTAAGTATCAAACAAAGTAATAATAATTTTAAAATTTCCCTCGTGGCAATATTTTGCCCGATAAATGTATTCATAACTTTTTGGTGCAGCATTGTATCACTCTGCAATGCTCAGGTTTTCAGATAAGGTATAACAACTGTAGCACTGTAAGGATGGCTTTGACTTTCTTACGTGGCTTGTGGAAACCATTTGTCTTGTAGTATAATGGTAAACATAGACACTGACAACTTTTTTTAGGGTGTATGTGTTTAATGTAGGAGAGGTGGGGATTTGGTTACTGGTTATGCTGTTGAGAGAAGGGGAAATTTTATGAAAGGGGATGGAAGTGGTAAGACACAGAACAATAGAATGATGAAGTGAATGGAAAGACAAAGAAATGGGCTATGTGTTTCTTAAAAGTAAAGAGGAAGCTTCACCTTGACCCATGTGTGCTTGAAGTGCAGTTTTCAGCCCAACAAAAATTCCTTCTGGTGTATCTCAGTAGAAAGCCTGCAAATTACTACATAATTTCACTGTCTCTACTTTGTATATAAATGTTAAAAACCATATTATTTTTTGAAGATATATTTCTTTTTAAATATAATATACTCTAAATGAATTTATATTTATAAACTAAATTCAATTTGGGTAATTTTGGTGAGTGAACTTTTTATTCAGTTTTGTAAAATTTAACCTGGTTAATATTCATTTAAGCCCCCAGTTTACAGTTTTATGTCTAGATTTTTTTTATCAGATCTAAGTCATAAGATAGATTTTAATTGGTCTGCTAATGCAGTAGCTACTTTATTTTTATAATGGTCTTAACTTTTCTTCATTTTAGATTTACTTCGTGCATTTTGGTTTTTTATTTGTTTGTTTGTTTGATTTTGCAGCCTCGTTTGGACCAAGCTAACCATTCGTGTGAAAATGCAGAATTGGCAGAGTTGGATAAGTTGAGGTATAGGCATTGCCTTACAACACTTACAGTCCCAAGAAGATGTATAGGATTTGCAAGGAGGCGGATTGGCAGAGGTGGAAGGTAAACTCTTTGTTTTGGCCTGGTTGTTGTTTACAAACTAGAAGGGAAGGTATAGAGAAAATGTTAAGTTCCTCCACTTAATGTTTGGTTTTATGTTGCTTTTCAGGGTCATAATGGACCGAATATCCACAGAACATGACCCAGTCCTGGAACAGATAGACCCTGAAATGCTGAATAGTTTTTCAAGCTCTTCCCAAACTATAGACTTTTCTTCTAATTTCTCTCGGACCAATGCTTCCAGTAAACATTGTGAAAATAGACTGTCCCTTTCTGAAATATTAAGCAATATCAGATCATGTCGACTACAGTGTTTCCAGCCAAGGCTACTAAATTTACAGGACAGTGATAGTGAAGAATGTACCTCAAGAAAACCAGGGCAGACTGTGAACAATAAAAGAGTTTCTGCGGCATCTGTAGCTTTATTGAACACCAGCAAGAATGGCATATCAGGTAAGCTGTCACTGTGTTAAGAGTAAATCCTGCTTATTGGTTTCTCATAATTTTCATTATCCACTAAACAAACTCTCAGGGTAAATTTTGAAGATTTGTTTTCCTAATCCCACTTAGGAAAGAAATTTTATGTTAAACTATTGCATTTTATTTTTCCTACCTGGGAAACAATACTCTGCTATTGTGGTTCACATTTTAACCAGAATGTCCTCACTGGTATCTGTGAAACCACTGACATGTATTTTCAGTGTGTGTGCTGGGTATAGTGAATTTGTGGGCAGAATGCACACAGAGTTCCCTACAGGCAAACTGCTTATAAGCTGCCACTAGATCATCATAGCACAGTACTGTCTGCTTTTTATGTTAAAGAAAATGTTCATTTTTGTGTATAAACTTTGCTTAAATGTAGCCGTTGCTCCCGAAGAGTACCATTGAAAATTTTGTTTCTGAAAAATGATTTTTTAGGAGACTCTTTATGAATAATTGTAAATTTTGTCTGGTAGCTTACCTCTCAATTTGAGATCAGAAAGTTTTTTTCATTTTAAGGGACATTGTGCTCAAATTAATGTAATATTTTAATGATATGTACATTCTAAATGTATAATATCTAGAGAATCTAAAATACAATTTTGATTTGTTTTCTTCTGTGGGTAGTCCTCTCTTTATCACATGTATACAATTATGGATAATTTATAAATACTCTTATAACATATACATTGCAGATAATGCATGGTATCCTGAGACAGAAATAGATGTGACTTGACTTACACTATTTATATCAGTTCTTTATGTATTTATAAATTATTTTCTGGATAGTGCATTTTAGGATGCAAAATTATTAAACTTTAAAGTAATTTTAAATAATTTTAGCTTAAAATTTGGTCTCAGTAGTGTTCAGCCTTTTGTAGTTACTGAACTATTGTCCTGCTTGACTTAGACATTTATCTATTTAAAGGTTATAATGGAAAATTGGATTTGTTTGAATGATTGGAAGTTGGCATGTCATTTCTCCAAATTAGTTGGGTTAATTTTCTCCTAAATGAACTTAGGTAAGGAAAATGGCATCCCATTATATAAAGTTCATGGGTCTGTGAAGTTTAATGAGCTTTTGAAGCCAAAATGGATAAATACCTAATATGATTTGCAATCTCAGAGTTCTTAGAAATCTAAAGATAGTAGGAAGTTGACATTATTAGGTCAAATCTTTTTTCAGCCAACTCCAAGGCAAAGTTCAAATCATTTAACTATATGGGAATTCCTATACCTAACATCACTCTTAATAATTTTTGCCAAAAAGGAAGTTAAAAACATATCATATATGGGCGTTTATAATTACGTTTGATTATAGGCTAAATTTCATCTCCGCCAGTGTATACCATATTTAAAAAATGGTTTTAATATCTTTCTTCTCAACTTGAACATGGCCAGATATTTGCAGCTTTCTACTATATACGTTCCAGATAAACTCTACAGTTAACTTGACTTTTTCTCAGAAAATGTGTATATGTTATATCATCAATGTGATATACATATTGATCCAATATAGAATTTAATATAACCTAAATAGTCCATAATAATCAGCTCTATAATTCTATGACTACCATATATCAATATAAAATAAGCATTTAAAATATTATCTTAGGCATGCATTTCTCAGAGAACTTAAATCACAAATGAACATCATAGACAAGATTATTTTTGTATTTTTGCCTTTCCTTTATCATTAGAAAAAAATAGAATAGATTTTTTGGTCTGGATAATTTTTCCTGATAT